GATCGTATCAGCAGCGGCTACAAGTTCTGAAGCGGCAGTGACGTCCGGTGGTGGCGGCCGGTCGGCAGTCTGTCGGGGCTGGTCCGGCAGTCTGAAGGTAGTGGTCTATTTTGTGAAGCTCCAGGGGTATTTTTGACCAACTATAGATAATAACTCCTATTTAGGGAATTTTTTAACTTTAGTCTTATCTTGACAATTAAGAATTTAATTACTCCCATTTAGGTAAATCTCCCTACATTTAACATGACGATGTTTATATAATTAATGACAATATTTTTCAATAATGACAATATTTTTCGTACATGACACTAACAACTCCTATTTCGAAAAGAAAAACATAGTGGCCCTATTTTGGATTTCCAAACCTCATTTATTCCCATTTAGGGCAATTTTCTTATTTTAATTGATCCCGGAGTAGAAATATTTATGAAGAAAGAATATTATCAAAATAGCCACGAGTAAGTAAACTAAAATGGTATGCAATGATGGGAATGGTACACATATACACATAAATGATCGAATTGAAAGACACGCCTGATCGTAATGCTGAAGCCAGGATCTGCGCTGAAGCATGTTGATGCCGGCGGAAGTGGCGGCGGGATTGTGCTTGAGGCGGCGGAAGAGATAGACATGGTAGCCGACGGTGAGGAAGAGGCTCACCGGAACCAATATGCTGTCCAATAACACCACCGTGAAGACGTATGATGATGCCATTTTTTCATGCCAAATATCTTAGGGCACTTTGATTTAATTTATTGGGGGGCACTGTGATACGGTGTCTATATAAAAATGTAATGCCTTTCCTTTTCTTGGTTAGCTGGTGGATTTCATTGTCATCCCATCATCGATTCATATAAGAAGTTGCGTCATGACTCATCGTGACCATAAAAATATACTCCAGCAAGCTAAGATCCAATAGGTTGATCCTCTCCATCCTACTTTCAATTGATAATTGACTTATCCCTTTTTATTGATCTGATTCGACCATAAGCAATGTACAAATTAATTTGTAGGACGGGTGAAAGGTTAATATTGAAGTGATTCTATTTGTCGATTTTGTTGATTTATGAAATAAGATACATTTAAAATATATTTTATTAATAAAATAATTAAAAATTTATATGAAAAACTATCTAAAATGATCATCTACAGTAACTTCAGTCCATACAACTACAAAAGTATCTTCAACCTTGCTTTTTATTATTACGTAGTATTACACAATTCAGCGCACGAAATCAAACATTACGTGGTGAAAAAACTGATTGATAATTCGAAAAACAAGATCATAAATCAATGGGAAAAAATGGACATGACATAACTCTGAATTTGAGACAGTTTAGATTTTAGGGATTTCAGATTGTGGTGGAACCTCATTTTGTAAATCTAGCACTATCGTAGCTTCGTAGGTATAGGTTTAGAACCTCATTTTGACTAGTTTGACGATCCATTTTGGTAAGGAATGACGAAATCAACTTATTTCTACAATATATTCATTATGCTTCTAAAACACATTTCCGAAATTGGGATGAATATTCCTAACTATTATCAGCTTCTTTAAAAGTATAAAACAAATAAGTAAAGAGAAAAATATCAACTAGAAGGCATATTCCTAACTATTAGGAAAATCAAAGGTTTAGGCGCAACTAGTTACACATGAAATGTTCTCTAGATTTTCTGGTGTTTGGATTGGTGCGGTTCCTCTAGGATGCTTTCTGGTGGCTAGGGCAAATACGCCCATGGTGTAAAAGATTCTTTCACCACGTGAGGTGTTAATTTACCTACTAAAACATCCCCTGGCTGTACCCAAGATCCCTGTACACAATAGAGGCCGTTTGGAACCATTGTTTTTCAGCTTATCAGACTTATCAGTCAACTTTTTTACCAAACACGTAATTTTTACTTTCGCGCGCTGAATTGTGTAATAAGCTGAAAAAGTAAGGTTGGAGTTACTATTCTGGCTGTATTGGCTGAAGTTACTGTAGATGATCATTTTAGCTATTTTTACATGTAATATTTTCTTTATTTTATTAATAAAATATATTTTAAAAATAATTTTTTCTTAAATCAGCAGAATCAGCCAGTGCAACCACTTCAGCCAGAACTTCATAAATTTCAGCAGAATCAGCCAAAACAGCCGATTTTCGTGCTACCAAACAGGCTCTAAAGTTTAGCTATATATATCTGGACGAAAATATACTTCCACTAAAGGCGCTGATCTAAAAAAGTTGTAGTCAATTTCGGGAAGGAATTCATTTATTTTTTTGTACTTGCAATTCATATAATAATTTTTTTTGAACGAAACTAGCCTCTATTCATATCATAAGTTTCATGATCATTACATCAATGAGATAAAAAAACAATTCTGACACCAACAACTACGACTGTAATTCTGTAAACCCTATGATCAGACTTAGAGACAGTCACTCTTGAAAGAGCAACACGAATCGCTAACCATGTACCGGGTTTGACACAGTCACCCCTGTTTCCAAAGATCCAAACATACGCAATGACATGAAGAAAGACTAAAATCCCCAACAAACTGACATACCTAGCAACAAAGACAGTAACGAAAATTCAAATGACAAAAAAATAAAATCTCATCGGAGAAGGACAAATTATGAGAAAAACTAAATAAGCAAAATAAATGACTTGAACCCTAGCACCTCGTTCAACCCTTGGCGGTGGCTCAGGAGGAGGCCGGACCTTTGTCGCTTGATTGATTACCTCTCTCGTTTTCGCCCCGGAGATGCATTTAGAAACCCCATCATCATCAATCGGTAGCGCACCCACCGTAGACGGTAGAACCCAAACTCATGCCATTTAATTGATTAATCAACTTCTCTTCCTCGCTAGCTATGTCCGTCGCTGCTACCACGATTGTCCAAACCACGCACCACGACACCAATTATGCGTCGAAAAACTAGCGCCGCACCTATGGCGGCAAAAAACTCCCCTAAGCGAGAAGCTCTCGGGACTTGGGGCCGGCTCTTCTACGAAGATTCCGTCCACATCTCTTGAAATGGGCAATTCATATAATAATGAAAGGGGATAAGGGTCAGTTTAGTACTCGAAGTTGCAAAAAAGGAGTCAAATAAGTCTTTATATAGAAGATTCTGTCCAGAAGTGTCATTTGAGGTGGCTCCCGGTGGAATTTTTTGATGAAATGTTTTGAGCATCTTATTCATTAAGTCTAGTTTACTCATATCAAATTTCAGATAAAAATTCAATCGGGAAGACATTGAAATGAATTCTTGAAGATAATTGTGCCGTTAAAAGCGTAGTTATCTTCAAGAATTCATTTGAATGTCTTCCCGATTGAATGTTTAGCTGAAATTTGGTATGAGTAAACTAGACTTAATGAATAAGATGCTCAAAAAAAATTATCAAAAAATTCCACTGGAAGCCACCTCAAATGGTACGTCCGGACATAATCTTCTATATAAGGACTTATTTGACACCTTTTTTACAAGTTCAAGTACCAAACTGACCCTTTACTCAATAATGAAATTCATATTTACTTCAAATGTACTCAATAACGTGTGGGATTTTGTCTCGGACATGTCGTGCTAAAACGTTGGTACAGTATTTTCCTGTGTCAAATTGAAGTCAAATATGCGTCCGATAAAATTTGTCTTTAAAACTTATAATCCTCAATGAGGGTTAGGGTATTTTAGGGTTGAAAATTGTGTTGGTGTAACTCATTGCTTTATTGAGTGGTACATTGTGTTTTATCCCCTATACTTTTTAAAAGGATTATGACCGTGACTATTTTGAAAATTTTGAATTTTGAATTTGTAGTCATGGACAACATCTGTGACTAAATTTAATTTGCCTGGTCGGAAAAGTACTCCGGTGACACTGTAGTCACGGAAATGGGCCGTGACTAGTCCGTGACTAAATGTAGTCACGGACCATTGTCCGTGACTAAAGTTAGTCACGCCTGAGAAATCTTGGATTTTGACCGTGACAAAGTCCGTGACTAAAGGAGTTAGTCACGGATTTTTTACACTACGATCCGTGACTAAGTTCGTGACTACAACGCGGATTTTTTGTAGTGAGTGGGGAAATCTTGGCGAAAGAGGTAAGAAGTTACTTGTTAAAGATAGGACAAGCATGAGGGATGGGGGATACAAGGTGCTCAAAGCAGGAAATTCAGGGGCAGAATAGTGGGGCTTGATGTTAGTGGGGGCAGGACTTGGGAGGAACAAGCGGAAGAGGATCATGCATGTAGGTGAAGATATGACACTTGATTATCCATAAAACGGGAAAGAGGTGGACCCGGAATACCAGGCCCGCCTTGATATATGAGGCACTTTTCTCTAGCACAAAGTAGTTATGGCTGCCAAACGTCCCGTGAAGGACGTTTTTATTTTAGTTTCTCATTATCTTGTTGTCTATTTTATTTTAGACTCCGATTTGTCTGCTATTTTTTCCCTTTTCCTTGAGAACTAGGATGGGAGATGAGGAGTCTGTTTCGATCACCGTCGGCTCAGATTTGCCCATTATAGGATCAGATTTGTTTGAGGGCTAGCCTATCATTGGAGTGCATCTTTCCTTCTAGCTTGGGCAAGCAAATTAGCCAAAACAAGCTACTTGCTAGGAATGAGAAAAATTTCAATTAAAATGGTAATTACCAATTCTTTATTAATATTGTTTAATTTAGTATATCTATTTTATTTAATCTTTTTTCTTTGTTGATTTTTTAAAAAAAATATCTCATGAAATATTTAAAGTTAATATTTTTCAGTATTGTTAGTATTTCTTATTCCTTATTTTTTTTATTAAACAAAATACATATTTTTGTACTAATTTTAAAGATATTCATTTTCAAATTATGCTCATTATAATAATAACACCGATAATTTATGAGTTCAAAAATATCATTTACATTTTCCCAATTTGAAAATATTTCAAAATAAGTATTATTTTTATTATATTAATAAATCAATTCATTCAAAATGTATACTCAAGAGGCGGGCATTGTGGATAACTATTGCACTATCACATTGCTGAAATAAGGCCTGGGAGAGGACGCAATAAGGCCTATTATCCATAGTAAGATTATTACTAACTTTATTCACCTTATATCAATCTCGATCTTAATAACATCTCGATCTTAATAGAGTTGCTCTTACAATCTTTTTTACTCAAACCGTTGCCCTAGTATCCATTACATTATTAGCATGATAAAGTCAACCAATCAACACACATTTGTGCAGTTAATTTGTGCAGGATCAAGTACTATACCCCGAATTTGTCTCCCTCGTCTCAAGGCCCTACTAGAAGTGGTTGTTGGAGAAGCTGTCAGTTCAACATGAGGAGGTATTGGCCTCTCCTCTGAGTGGCCAGAGATGCATAGCCTACCAGAATCATCTTGTTCCCAGTTCACTTCTACCATAATGCCTCTGGGATTATCGGCAGATTCTGTCCCAGGAATCCCAATATATCTTGCTCCCACTGGTATCTGAAAGGTTGATAGGGAAACATTAATGGACTTTTGACCACATTGTAGCACGGGACACTGATGCCTGTTATATTCCATTGTTTTAAATAGCGCCTACAGACTACATGGGGATTAGATAGGTCTAAGAGGGATTTTTGGAACACATATATTGTTCTACCTGGAACAAGCCCTTAGGCAGAAGTTTACAGTCAAAGTTTTACCTGAAGAGACGACCCCGAGTTCAATGTAAGAGTAGCAAAACTTCCCTCTGCTGCAGCACTTTCCATTTCGGCCTGTTTAGCAATGTTTAAGAAAACCTCTTCGAGGGTTGTGAGCCCTAGTTGGACATCTGATATTCCAAAGTCTGATCCTTGATCTTTGAGTTCAGTAAAGAAGTCCTGAAAAGAAGGTATAGGGGAAGGAAAAGGGATTGTCAACATTTTCTAGTATAAAATCAAACAAAAATGCAATGAGATAATAGCAGGAAAAATGCAACATCAAACAGTTAAAGCTGTACAGTCAAAAGGCTCTCCCTGTCATGCGGAATAACAAAGGTCAGGAGAGACTTGCTTTCCTCTTTAGGCACCACATCCAAATGCTGCAAAAACAAATATTAAAAGTCAATCCAAAATATTTTAAGACTTAATCAGAATAAACCAGATACCGTTTTTGTTTTACATACCGTTTTGAAGAACTGTTTCACTGCTTGATGTTTATCTGTAGAAAAAGTATCAGATTCTTCAGGAGCTGTCCCTCCAGAAAAACTGATTGTAGCAACAAAACCAGTTCCAAACTTTGATTTCAACCTTATTGAAGTCCCAATGCAACGAAGCCTCCCCTTTGCCATGATGCCTATGCGATCACTTAAAATGTCAGCTTCTTCCATAGAATGGGTGGTTAAGATGATGGCACGCCCTTTTTTTGCATCCTCTATTATGTCCCAGACGTGTCGTCTTGTAATTGGATCCATGCCGGTTGTCTTTGCAATTGTAAGGAACACAATTAGTAATTTAGTATAGATATACCTAAGTGCCTAACCATTTGATCTTAAATCTAACAGTTGAAACCACACTCATATGTGTGGGTGCGCAAATTTGTATGTGGGGAATATTCTTATAAGTTTTCAGATCTTGTCTGTAAAGACTTAAAACCAGCCATTCAATAATTAGTAAAATCTTACACAAAACATTAAAATCAATCCAAAAGCATCCAACGGTGGATTGTGAGTCCTTCCAGATTGAAGCTGTCATGAATGACTAATGTACTAATGTGAATACGTCCACACCCACCCACACATCAGAATATGTCTCAGCAACTAACAATAGATGCATTTATACCCACTGGTTCATCTAAAATAACCAATTTTGGTTCGCCAATAAGAGCTATCGCAAGACTGAGCCGTCGCCTCATTCCTCCACTGTAACTGCTAGCTCTCATGCTGGCAGCTTCAGTCAGTTTAACCTCAGTTAATGCAGTCTGTACAACCTGTGATTTACAACAACAAAAAATCATAAAATACTTCCAAATTTAGAGGTTCCAGTCTAGGGGACAAGACTTTTAGCTTGAACTACAAACTGTCGGCGGCGTTGACCAGCCTTGAGGACTGCGACAACGCTTTCGATGATTTCAAAGTGGACGTTGCCAGTGTCCAGGCATTGAACAACGACATTGGTCAAGCCATCAGAGTTTGTTTGGCTGTTGATAAATCCAAGTCTGCCGCCCGGAAATAATCATCATCATATGAATTAACTTGTAATAATTAATAATAGGTAGATGGGAGATCCGTCTCTCATCTCTCTGCATGCATGCCATTCATTATATTGCCGTCTCTAATCTTCGATCTCTTCTGTACGTGGAGGTTGATGGAATAAGATAACGTCCGTGTAATACGTAGTAGTGTTCAATTCTCTTCGCTATACTTTAATTTCTTTTAATGAAAGCCTATTGTGTTACTCTTTTTCTTGACAAATTTTCCTAATTTAGCTCATAAAACACAATAGTGTTCTATTTTTTCACCTAATATTTGTGGAAATAAGGTCATGATTACCCTAACACTAGAGACTACGTCAATGTGTGTATGTGTGTGTATATATAGATATGTATCCACTTGGGTGTATATTAACTCATAGATCGAGTGCTTCAATGTGATAATATTGAGTAAATTCCCTAAATGGAACTAAAAGGAAAAAGAATTGCAAGACTATGACTATAGGTAGTACTACCTCTCTCCCATTTTATGTGTCTTAATTCGACTTGTTATGGTTATTAATGAAGTTATGAAGTAGTTGAAAAGTAAAAGTTGTGGTTGAGATTTGATTATAATAAAGTGAAATGGTATTAGTGCTCTCAATCATATTAGATTGATTCGATCCTTTTTTTTCCGGGCAGCCTAGCTGCGCTATTCGATCATCAACATGTCTTCTCCATCTCTGATACCATGAAGATTGTTTGGTAAATGAGGCTTAGCCTTCTTATAGCTATAGCCACGTATTTATATTAAGTTAGGAGGCATGTTTAGCTCTCCTATTTACAAGGAATACAAGTACAAAGGTATAGATAAGTACAAGTAATATTAAAGAGATAATTACAAATAATGATTAAATAACATTAATCTATCGCAACCCAAAAAAGGAAAGTAGGACAGGTAAAATGAGACGGAAGGAGTATGTTTTATAGGATTAAAAATATAGTCACTTGACAAAACTACCCTTAATGACCTACAAACTATATTCGTATCACAACCAATACTCTAAAAGGCGTTAGGCGCTAGTCGGGCGTCCGTCCAGCGAATAGTGCCTAGGCGGGGAATAGGGATTTATCAAAACATAAAAATTACTACCTATGTTCTTTATTAAGTGTCCCGTTAGGCTTTTGCACGAGTTTTAAGGGGAAATTAATAGGTATAATGTAAAAGGTGTAGTGGTTTGTGATTGAATGATAAAGTAGGAAAGAGAAAGGGCTAAGCGTAATATAAGTGGGGGTAAAAAGATATTTTGATTGAAAAAACTTACCAAAAAGGAAAAAGAGACAAATAATTAAAAACTTACCAAAAAGGAATACAAGACAATTAATAAACAATGGATGAAGTATATTTTATCAATATTTTTTTTGCATAAATATGATAAGTAATAGTGTGTTCGTGTGTGTTTATACACACACATTAACATGCATGAGTGACCTAATCGTCACATTTAATAAGATACAAAGTATCATACTTAGTAAGTTTTAATTAGCCGTTCTGTGGCTAGACCCTTATCTTTTTTTTTTTTAATCTTCAATGAGATTGCAATTGTTAGGAATGACACAACAATGAAATAAAATCATCACATCTATATATAATATAGTAAAACACAAAAGTCTCAAGAAGGGAGGACAAGGGGTGTTGGGCGGGAAAAAACGTTACTAAAAAAAGTAGATGGCCGAGTTGTGTAGAATACGGATGGACATGCTAAGCAATAATGTGGAATACACTCGGAAATAATACCCCATGATTAAACAGTTGTAAAGATATGCATTCTAGAACCGACCTTAATTACCTATTTCGAAGCGGCTGAGTGGGCCTGAGTCATTAAATCGTGCATGGGAATATGGAATGATATTGTTTGGACTTCTCTAGAATTCTCAATTCAATATTGTTCTCCTATATAAGACTCTTGATGATCTAGCATCAAGAATCCGAGAACATGTGAAATAGCGCACACTGCTGTGGTTTTGGCTTGCCAATTTGACGGTTCTTTGTGTTCGCGAGGGGGCGGAGGAAATATTTGGTTGTTGACGTGTTAAACTAATAACTTAATGGCGGAAGCTTTCGGTCATCGATGGGTCAGGGAGAGTGGAGGAGGGTTGTTAATCTCTCTGGTAAGGATAGAGTGAGTAGCTGTGCCGGATTTTGATGTATTTGGGAAGACGACGGGGGAGTGGAAACTGGAAAGGATGGAGTAGGGATAAATGTTAAAGCCATATATAATTGGAGGTTTGGGGAAGTGGTGATCGATTTTTTAACTACGTCGTATTATTCGATAGTTGGAATATTTGAAATCTCATAGTGATATACTATCCTCCGTTCTTTAATTCTTGCAACAGTTTGACTTTCACGTTTGCCAACACACAACTTTGACTATAATTATATTTAATTATGTATTAGTAAACATTATAAAAAGTTGATATTTTGGAAATTCACATTGATAGGAATTCAATAACATTTTGTACGTAATAATTTGATTATATATATTAGTAGAAAATCGTGGTCAAAGTAGGGTATGTGAATAGTGCAAAAGTGACAATGTTGCAAGAATTAAAGAACAAAGGAAGTATGTGTCCAAATGAACTCTATGGTGTGCAGCTACCTAAGCAGCTAATTTACTCTTTTGAATCGTAGAAGTACTTCTTTAAGCACGTACTTAAATAAGTGGGAAACTAATGATATTGTTTTAGATGGTCAAAAGTGTATTATTGAACTACGTTACTTTTATTTTTATATTTATAAAATAAAATGTTCACTTTTTTGCATACTTTTAAAAAGTGAAATGGAATTTGTAGTATAGGATTTTCAATTAAATTAAGATTAACTTTTTTAGTTACAATTAAATTACCATTATCTAGAAAAAATCTTAAGGTTCCAAATGATAAATACTTCGTACTTACATCAGCTGGTATTTTGACGAAAAAATCCAATCCCATATGATTGAATGAAAGAAACAGCAGCTTGCAGCAAAATTAGACATAAAAAATTAGGAGTCCGAAAAGAAAAGATTACTTATGCAACTGAACGTAAAACACGCAGCAATCTGATTACAAAATATTTGGTTGATGAACCTGAAAATATATAACAAAAAAGGTAGTCACAAAAAATATTGTATAGATGTGAATCGGATCTTTTTTTTATTAACATCGAACAGACATTCATTCATAAAAAACACTCAAAAGGGGTTGAAATAACAAAAGGACCACAATAACCATCCGCCCGTGGACGAGACTCTGAGTTAATCACCTTTGACAAAGCAATATAACTCGCTAATCCTAAATTGGGCATATTCAAAACCACGACGATTACCGCAGGCCTCTCATCCCCCAATCCAAGTGCAAAAGTCTTACAACATAAAAAAAATAAGCAGCAAAACACATTCGAAATAAAATAAAAACAAAACACGATCGACTCAGCAGAAATAGAAATACTCGTCCAAACCCTAGTCGCAGAATTCCTCCAAGGCGGCGGTTCTGGAGGTGGGCGGATCAACATCCATTCGTCTTCTTTCACACATAGGCCACCAATCACTAGTAGGAAAATGAGCTATTACGACGCTTAATATAGATCTTTTTAGGCGCAAAAAAGCGTCGGAAGTACTTTTACCGACGCTTTTAGAAGCACTTGTTTTGCTTGTGTCGCTAGACCTTTTCACGACGCTAATCCTTAGCGCCGGTATAGCACTCCAAAAGCGTCGCAAAACTTGAGATGCTTTTCAATAACTTTTTAAGGTACTTATTTAGCGCCGCAAGAGATCGAACTACTATGCTTTACAAGCGCCTTCAAAGATGTCACATGAATTATTAGTTTTAAAATCTGCAGTTGCTACTTTTGAAATAGATCATGTAATGCTTAAAATAATACTCCGTACTAAACAAACAATCTTTATTTCAAAGCTCTCTTCAAGGACATCAAAGGTGACACAAATTGATAATTCCGAACATTATTCATGTAATATTTAATTCCAATAATAAACTTGTGTTGAAATGTCTACTATTCTGTTGCATCCATTCAAATCTACATTGAATCCCTCTAACTTTAGTACTTCTAAAAGCGTAATCTGCAAAAAAAAAATCACAATAATGAGTAATACTCCGTATATATATATACATAAATAAAATACAAACAACTCAAGAAAATGGTTGTTATCTTACCAATTACCACAACTACACATTGTACAATGTAAAATTTCATGAAATGGAGAAAGCGAAACACTGCCTCCAAGTTTAAGAATGCTTGAAAAGATTGTCAATTTTTCTTTGACATCAATAAAGATAAACAAATCATTACAACAGCTAAGACAAATAAAAAAGTGAGAAGTTAAAAAAATGTTCTTAAGGAGATCACAGTCATTATACAAAAATAAAACAATACAAAGTGCTAACCTTTGATAGAAGAATCTCAGTTGCCATCACTTAAGAGGTGCAGTAGAAGAAGCAACATCACCCTATATTAAACATTTTCATATAATTTAATTATAATAATTAGTATCAAAACTTATCAAATTTATGAGATGAAAATATCAGACTACATAGTATCTCATTATTATAATATAAAACAAAGTCGTTACAAATCAATAGCCATTTGTTTCATCAAAGCTCGTTCCCAAACTGTCGAAGAATAACAGCTCGGCTTCGTCTTCAGCATTCTGCAGCACCCCACCTTCCCCTTGCTAAACCTGTCCCCTGCCAAAATCAGAAGCCTCGAACCCTCCTGAAAGCTTCCTTCCTTGTTTGCTGCTCTTGTAAAGCAAAAAAACCAAAAGCTTCGTCCAGACAGAATCCAGATTCACCACAATTGCAAGTCCGAAAGAAAACAAAAACGAACCAAACAAAACCCCGCGATGACAACAAAACTCAATACCCTGAGAAGATATATGAGATAAGTTGCCTACCGGGGAGAGATCGACCGAACCCACGGGCTGGATAGGCCGCCGCCGGAAAAAACCCTAGGACGTGTCTAGGAGACGACCGTGAGGATACGAAACACACTTTTTTCTTTTTTTTATGTGAATCGGATCTTATAATTAGATGTTTCTTTATAAAGAAGGTTAATTAATTCTATAAAAAATTGGTTGTGTCTAAAATAAGAAAAAAATGCTTAGATTATAGATGTGAATCAAATGCTCAATTACTTAATTGAGAGCACGATGTGTGAAAACATCATTATATTAACAAAAAATATTGCCTGTAAGGAAGTATTTTGGAATTTAAAAAACTTTTTATTATTTTGCTTTACGATGTTCTTTATTCATTTGAATTTACCTTTTATCTATCATTAATGAAAAATATATGCTTATTAGAG